GCCATTCTGCAGGAGAAGAAGGAGAAGAAGGAGGCCAAGAAGAAGGCCTTGAAGGAGGAGCAGGCGGCCAAACTGAAGAAGATAGAGGAAGAGATGGCCAAAGAGAAGGAGAGGATACAGAAAGAAGAAGAAGAGAAGTTGAAAGTKGGGGAAGAGGAGGAAGAAGATGAAACGCCATTGCAGAGGAAGAGGGTGCAGTACAGTGGTAGTAGGGATGAAGAGATGGAGAAGCGAATCTCCGAGTGGGTCGCCAACTTATCCCAGGGCGAAGAAGAAGAGGTGGCGATGTATATCTCTAAAGATGATCAGGAAGCTTCTATGAGAGCTTGGGAAGCAGAAAAGGATGTTGTGAAGCGGCAGGCATTGGAAGACGAAAAGAGGATGGAGTGGAAGTTGACAGTGATGAGGGAGAAGAAGAGGAGAGTGGACGTGGCAGCCGAGGCGGCAGAAGAAGTAGAGGAAGTAAAGAATATAGAAGAGCAACTGGCCGCCCAGACCGAACTCCCAGCGCAAATGCGAGTCATAGCCCGAAACGTTGCACGCCTGACACGAATTCAGGCGGAGCAATATGATTTTAGTAGGAGTCAACACATAGCTGTGTGTTCCATAAAGTTGGGGTTTCGGGACTTTGCGCGTGAGCTGGTAGGCGCTATAGGGACCGAGGTGGGTCACCGCCTCGACAAGACTGAGCGGTTCTGTGCCGGCGCCATTGAGGGCGTCAAAGCGGCAGCTCCCAAGGAGGAGGAGGCACGTCCTCCTCGTCGAGAACCGGTTAAAGTCAAATTCCCTGATTCCTACAGTGGAAAAAGGAAAGAGAACTTCGACAATTGGGAGGCCAATGTCAAGACCTATGTGCATCTGCAACAGGTCTCCCCGGATCAGCAGGTTCTGATTSCGATTCACGCGCTCAGAGATGAAGCCGCCAGCTTTACAAGGTCCCTAAATCGCGCTGCCAATTGCAGCGATGATCCCGTTGCGTACTCCTCATTCACTTCCCTCACTGAGTTCTTGAAGYTGTTGCGCGAGAGGTTCGCCGATGTCGCCCGTAGCGTTAAGGCCTCAAACAGGCTGCAGACGATCCACGCTCGTAAGTGGAAGAGCGCCAGGGCACTGAAGAGTACCATGGACGAACTGGTAGCTGTCCCTGACCACGGAGTTACAGACACCCAGTTGGTTGGCCTCTTATATCGGGCTATACCCGAAGCCCTTCGAGGGTATTTCTTCGCAAAGAGAGAAGACTCTGCCACTACATACGATTCCCTTAGTCGCAAAGAAGTGGCTTTTGAAGCTAAGTTTGCGCCTGTGTCCACTTTCTGGCACAAGGACTTGGACAAGGGTAAGCAATGGAAGGGTCGCACTATCTCAGGGCAAGTAAAGACCAAGGACAACCTTGTCCTAACCTTAGATGAGGGTAGTGTGGATGAGATCCCCTACGACCAGATTGAGTGGGGGTTAGAGGAGGAGGACAGCGGTGTGGGCCAAGGGAGATCTTACGCTGCTCTCGCGGCTAGAGGGAGGCCGCAAGGAGGAAGAGGCCAGGGCCAAGGGGGCCGGRCCTCAGGGAGTCGATTTCAAGGCGATCAGGGGGTTGGTAGCAGAGGAGGAAACCGCCAAGCGGGAGGCAGGGGTCAAGGTCCCCCACAAAACCGTCCTAGGAATAGGTCTCCCTATAGAATAGGAGGATGGCACCCAGGGCTACCTCAGGGTAGGCCTTGGGAATCTTTGGGTCTGGACCAGGCTTTATGGCAACAACGATTGGACCGGGGCCAGTGCATTTTCTGCGGTGACCCGGGCCATATCATCAAATATTGTCCTAAGTATGGAGAGACCCGAACGGCTGCCCAAGGGCCAAAAGGCAGCCGCCGGTAGGGGTAGCAACTGCCCCTACCATTAGGCCATGTGGGGAACATAGCGCTAGCCGGCAGGAGAC